AGGTAGCTAACATGTTTTCATCCTGATACTATTCCGCGAGAGCCCGAAAAGTATCATAATCTGGGGAACTCTGAAAACAAAAAGCAATACACAGGCTTCGTTTTAGACCTTCAAACAAGTCAAGTGAGGTCAAACGGGTGTTTCTATCCAGAGCTGTTCCTGGCCCGAAAGCCTAAACGGAGTGAGCTGTGATGGGCCTGGGGGTTTCCTTCTCGGCCGCCAGGGTTGGTGTTGGACACACGGGGCTGCCTTGGCCCTTGGTCCCTTCCTGGGCTTGTGGGTGACTTAGCCTGTGCCTCCTGCCTGCGGGTGCCCGGACACCTGCCTGCGGGAACTTGCTGGAATCATGGGGCAGCGCCTTGTGTGGCCCTAGCCGGAGGGCGGCTGAGAGTTGCCAAGCAGGAGAAGAGGTGCTGGGGGTCCCCATGCAGCCAGGGGTGTCTGGTGCAGGAGCTGGGAGACCTTCTGGGGCGTACCAGGCACCCCCAAGTCTGCTCCGCTCCTGGCTTGAGCCCAGGGACTAGGTGAGGGGCTGGGCCGGTGCCCGTGGTCATGCCAGGGCCACAGCTGAGCCCCAGGAGGGGCCTAGAGGAGGCTGGAGGTGGCGAGGCTCCGGGCCCATGGCTGACTGTTGTGAGCGCGAGGGAGCTACTAGAGGCCTGAGACCCTGGTCCCCCCTCTCCCTGGAGGTGCAGGGCGGCCCCTGGGAGGGGGGAGGGTGCGCACGGCCCCTGAGGTCACCCGGCTAGTGACTGCCCGGGGCTGGGGTGTGGAGGAGCCCCTTTCCTGCGCTGGCTCTGCCTTCTGCCCAGCCCTGCACGCCCACTCGTGGTCTTTCGTTGGCCCATAAAGGGCCCTGGCCTCTGCCTCCTGGCCTGTCCCCCCAATGGAGTCACCCCCTCCCCACCGTCCCCTGTTCTTACTCACCAGACCCAACTTTTGTTCTTCCCTCCCAAGGTCAGCCTCTTAGCCTCTCACCCCAGTGACCTCCCCACACTTTAGGCCCCACCCTGGACACGTCACCATCCCCGCTCAGCCCTGGGAATCCCAGGGCATTCCATCTCCCAGCAGTCACTGATCCTCCCAGAACATTCCTGGTTTCCTGCCAGCCAGAGCCCCTTGCCCCTCCCCACCCTCCTGCCTTTTCTCCAGGGCAAATTCCTGTGGGGCTGCCGCCCCTGGGTGGGTGTCCCGCCAGCCCAGCTGCAAGGGCCATCCTGCCTCTCAGGTCCCCAGGGCCTGGCCTGCTGCACCAGGGAGCCTGACGAGGCTGGGAGGGCGGGGGGGGGGGGGGGGGCCAATGTGTTCACGGCCAGGAAAGGTTTTGGGGTTACCCGGGGGAATTTGTGAAAGGGGGTCTCCCAAAAAA